TTATAATAATTTGAGCTTACAAATTCTTTTGAGGAAATTGTGCACATTTCATAAACTAACCATGTTAATTTAACAAAAAGGAAAAAAGCAAAAAGGAGCATGGAACCAGGAATCTGGTGGACTTGGGCATTTTATTGCAACAGAGTCCATTCAGGTTCATTCATTACTGGAAGCTCTACTCGTGGACTGCAGGAAGCAGGTCAGGATTATGGACCACTTTCATCTCCACCATGGACAATCTTTGCCTGGAAGAAGCTCATCACCCAACAAAGGGGTCTGGCCAGGACCCTTCTGACTAGGGCCAAGTCCAGTAGTTGGGGCTCCACTGCCATCAGCTCTGTGCCCTGGAGGGCACAAGCAGCCCAGCAAGGCCCCCCACCCCCTGCCGCCGGAGGGGCAGAGAAGAAAAGTGGGCCAGCCCACCAGCCATCCTCTGTTCCTGCTCCCTCGGCAGGAGGTGCAGAGGGCAGGCCGCTCAGAGCCAGCTGGCTGCCTCCCACACACAAGCCCGGGGAGTCGGGCAGGACCACCTAATTTCCATTCTCTGTCGCTGCACGTTCCCAGCTGCAGCTTCTGGTGGGAGCAAATGCAGCGGGCACAAACAAACAGCCCCTCAGTCCTGTTCTTGACATGCTGTTGCCAAAATTCAGTCTGAAGGAGTGTAAGGCAAACGTCAACCTCAGCTCCTGCTGGAGAAGTTGTTTAAGCTACAAGAAAGCGGAGGGAGTGAGCGGCCTGACTGCTCTAATTTCCTCACACATTTCTGCTGTCAAACTGCAGGCAAGATCTCCCTACCCCCACTTCCCCTATTAAAAAAGAAAAGCTCTTCAAGACATCTGCCACCTTATTTATGAAAAGTCAGCTCCACAACGAGATTTTTAAAAGGGGGTTGTTAGGAGTGCTGGGTTTAGCAATGTCTTTCACCATAACTTAGACACTGGCTGGGTGGACAGGCTGGTAATAGAGGAGCCTTGGGCTCTGTTCACAGCCACCTTGAAAAGGGCTTCCTCCCTTTAAACCAAGACCCTGAACCTCTATGCCAGGCTGATGAAGTCTTTGGTTACTTCTCAGAGCAATGTTTACAGTGAAGAAAATAAAATATATGAGATTGTAAAGGAAACCAATTAGACTGAAATACAGTCACCAAAAGGATAAAAAATGTGAAATATAGCCATTCATGTGCTTCTTTATTAACATGTTAAACGACAAGATCGAGTGGCAGTTCTAAAAACTACCTTCATCCCGAAGCAGTGATGAGTACCGGTGACATTTCAGGGTATCTGCAAAGTGATGAGAAAGTAAATGATTTCTTCTGGAGACAACATCACAGGTGCTTCGCTGCCTACCTTCATAACTGAAGGGAACACCAGATTTCTGTTAGAGGTTAATGAAAAGAGAAAATGCAATGTTCTTTTCATCCAGGTTTACAGACCCTCCTGAATTCTAGTCACAGACCTATCTGTGGGCCCTAGGACTCCTTGATTAAGAAGACCTTTCAGAACGCTTGTATGCTGTTGATGGGAATGTAAATTGGTACAGCTACTATGGAAAACAATATTGAGGATACCTTCAAAAAGTTAAAAACAGAACTACCATCCAAAAAAAAAAAAAAGATCTTTTTCTGGGCTGTCAGGAGAGAGCACTGCAGTGGGAGACAAAGGGGCCAGTCCCCATCCTGGCTCCACTTCTAATAGCTGGGAGACTCACCCCTTAACTGGTAAGCCAAAGAAAGTGCAAAGTCTTGCCTAGTTAACCACTTGCAATGTCTTCCCACATGGGCTGGTGCAGGGTGGGGGTATCCCCTAGGGTTCCAAAGCACCCTGTGCCTGCCTAATCCTGTCACTACTTCTCACCTGTGGTGCAATGACCTGCTTCTGCCATTAGCCCCCGCATCTCACCCAAGGCGGCAGTAATAGCTCATTTATCACGTGATCCTGGCGTTATGCACAGGGCTGGGCACTCAGACAATTAATACACATTTACTGAATGAACAGATGAATGAATGGATGAAAACTTCTCTCATTGTAAAAATATTCCTTATTTCAGACCAGCAGTTCTCAATCCTGGTTATATGTGAGAATCGCTTTCTCAGGTTTTGGAAAATCCTGAGACCCAGGTGATACCTCCAGAGATTCAGACCCAGAGGTCAGGGGTGGGAGCCCAGGCTTTGTATTTATTTTTAAAACCACACCAGGTACAGCCAGAGTTGAGAGCCCACAGAACCACAGCACAGCAGCTGAGTTACAGTATAATGCCCCCAGATGAACTTCTTTCCTAGACTTAGAAAGATGAAATTAGTGCAGAATTCTGAACTCTGCAGGGGCTAAACATATAAACTGAGTTTCTGACCCTCAGAGTCAGGTCACAGTTCTGAATCTGGCAACATCAGTAATATATGAACTACATTCTGAGACTTAGATGAGAAAACCTCAGGCTTGACAGTGAAGGCTATGAAATAGATTGCAATCCCCCGCTGCCCCTCCCGGACCCCTGGCTAGCCCTGCAAGGCCCCTTGCTCCCTCCCATCACTGCAAGAAATCCTTGTAAACAGGGCCAAGTCCTGGGCAAGCAGCACATCTTTTGGGTAGGGATTCCTAGCTGTGTGGCTTCCTCACATACAAATTGAAGAGGGTAAGTATTGTTGCAGGAACCGAAAGATGAAAGGAGACACAAGGCATTTTGCAAGCAGCAAACATGTTACCAAGGCTCTTTATTATTACATTCTACCAACTGAGTTCTTTGGATGAAAAGACCTTGTGACCTACAGATTCTAGGTCAGACGCCCTGCGTTCAATATTCTGGCGCCACCTTTTACCAGTTGCGTCATCTAATGCAAATTATTTTACCTTTTTGTGCCTCAACTCCTCATCTGGAAAACGGTGATAATAAAAGGACCTACCTCATAGGGTTTTGGGAAGGTTTGGCTGAGTTAACACACGTAAAGTATCCAGAACATTGGTTCTGAAACTTAACCTTTGCATCAGAATCACCTGGGGGGCTTGTTAAGTCACTGACTGCAGGACCCCTCCCGGGAGCTTTTGATTCAGTAGCCTTGGACGGGGATCTAGGAATCTGCCCTGAGGCGGGAAGCCCCATAAAAAGACCGGCAGGACCCCTAGGCAGGGCCGCTGCTCTCTTAGCACCGTCAGCACCGTCGGGTTCCCTGGTCCAGAGGCTCTATCTCACTTTCTGCTTAAAGCG